TATATCAATGAACATATCATGGCTCATTTTAACAAATAGATCAAGCTTAGCCATGAGCCGTAGGCGAGTGATTTCTATAACGTTTTTGAGCATTCTACAGCTTCAGGAGTTTTTTTATCAGAGAACAGAACATAGCTAAGCCTGATCTATTTGCTTTATATAATAGATTTTTATGAGAAAAATAGAGTAAAATTTCAAAAAAAAAAAGGTTTGTTTACAAAAACAGTGCGCGTCTGTCGTCAAACTCATCTAAACAAATTTGATCTATGCGATAATTGGCTAATAATGTGACACAGAGCTATCTGATTGGTCCAGTTTTGACAGGTAATGACAGCTATGTACAGGCTTCCATACAACTGGTTTATCCCATTTGTTCAACAAAAAACGAGAATTGCTTGTAGATTTTAGCAAAAACAAGCATGTCAAGATATAAAAAATTCAAATCGTGAAGAGTTTGAAAAAAACGATTTCAAAGTTCAGATCGTTAACTAGACATTTAGCCTGACGAATACTCAAGAAAACCTGCTTATGAACACTTGCACAAGGAGCCGAGAGACTGAAAAAAATTTGAAGCTAGAAGAAAGCTAGCAGCAGTGAAGTACTTGGGAAACTGGTGTTTTAGTTGGACCCTGAACTATTCTTCATTTTGCAACCACATGGTTATTGCTGGTGCCAGAATATTTTTTGGTTCCAATCAAAAAACAATCCTAATGACCATGCAGAGCCACCAATAATGAAACTTTGAGCTAAAAATTGGAGTATTAGAGCATTTCTGAAACGAGCTATGGTCGAATGAAGTTTACGATTTTATAGTGTAAGTGTATGGCGAAAATTCGCTGGTGGACTAGCTTGGTCCACCAGCAATGGAGGCCAAATTTTAAAAAAATATTTCACAAAGGCAACAATATCAAACTCCCTATAGACATACATACATGTAAATCGAAATTAAGACATTTAAAACACGTTTCATTTATCATTTTTTCTTCGTTTTTATGACTTTTTAGACCCGTACGAAGTGTAAGGTCAGAATTACATGAAGAAAATCAACTTTGCACAACTCGGAAACAAAATGGCAAAACGATTTAAAATTTTCTACACTTAGTCACAACATAGTTCTCTAAAACATATCAAAGAATCGAGTTTATAGCATTCATAATTAATTTTAAGTTGTTATTTTCTTGGACTATGACGTCACGTGCAAACGAAGAATAAGTGAAAAATCTGTTCCACTTGTAGTAGTATTTCGTATCTTATGGTTTCGGGCTATTGGAAAACAAATTACGGCTAAAAAATTACCATAACTGAGAGTTTGAAAAGTAGGCTTAAGTTTCTTACAAAACGGAAGAAAGCTTTACTCTTCGAAATGTGCTTCAAAACGACATATTTTTCTTTTTTAGAGCAAGAACATAATTTTTAACATAACTAAATATTTCAAATTTAAGTATTATGAAAATACTTTAAAGTGAAAAACCGAATTCCGGTGGCTTCATTTCTATGTTTAATTTTTTATAGAAACATGGTTTTGACATCAAATCTATGTTTTTATATTCTGATAAAACATAGCTTTTCTACAGTGACCCATAGGGGACAACTACAAACAAATGAAAGCTACTGCAAAGAAATTCTGATCTTTGAAAATAAATTAAAGTTGCTGCAAATTGATAGAAGTTGCTGCAAACAATAACAACCATTACGGCAAATTAATAAACGTTTATCAAAAAATGAAAGTAAAAGTTGCTTTTCTAGTTTTTCCAAGGTGGCCCATAGGGGACAACTTCAAATAAATAAAAGCTACTGCATAGAAATTATGGTCGTTGAAAATAAATAAAAGTTGCTGCAAACAAAAAGTAAAAACGTCTGCACAAGCATTGGTCTGAAAGGACTGGCACTAGCAGAGAATATATCCATTGCTTGGGGAAAATGTGTATTTTGTAGATCTAGAAGTCAATCTATCAACCAACATGTTTTGTAGCTATTGCAGCGCAGACGTTTTATCCAGTGCCGCCAAGTTCTGCTACTCTTGGGACTGGGGGGAGGGGGGTAACTAGTATTTCTTTTTACAAACCCTGAATTCACCCGCTGCTATGATAGCATGTGTCATACTGTAATACTTTTTTGCAAAAACTAAAGAAGCATCATCTTAAATATGAAAAAAAAAAGGACCAACCAAGTGATTCACTTTGTCGATGAGTGGTTATGAGTTTAGGGTTGGGATAAACACCGTAATTATGGTCACTTGGAGGCAAGGGTGGCATGCAGGTTAAAATTCGATTTGTCTTAAAATTCTCACTCATGCAAAAACCAGTCAATGCAAATAATGATAATATACAGTTTTAACCATAATGATAAAAAGGTAAAACATACACCGTGAAAATATGAAAAACTTACTGACGTTTCGGACTCTAGTCCTTCGTCGGAGTACACAACAGTTTTATCATTAATTTTTTTTAATATTGTGATGAGAATTAATAATGGTAATTAAACTGAGTGGAGTGCAATTTGGTCTGAAATCAAACGCGCGATTACAAAATCGCACGACCGCGTAGCGGGAGTGCGATTTGTAATTGCAAGTTTGATTTCAGACCAAAATTGCACGACACGAAGTTTAATTACCACTTTATTATATCCATTTTGA